ATAGTAAACCAAGAGACTGCTTGAAACCTAAGTACTGACGTCGAAACTCGGAGCCTACCTCACAAGCACAGCGAATCGAGGCACAGGCATTTGATCCGATTGCGAAGAACTGAAGACTTGGTTTGACTTCGCTACATAAACCCAACACAAGAGGCTCAACTCATACGCCCTGAACGAGCACAACGAAAATGCGCCTTTTTGTGCAAAGCCAATGGGTCCCATATGCCCTAGCCAGTCTAGTCGGGCTGACAGCGTATGAATGAAGCTTTTTATGTGAGGGCTTGTGTGGAGAAGGTGTACCGTCGTTGGTGGGCGTAGTAACCATATCAGCACAGCAGCTAATGGGCTAGGCTGCACAAATTAGGCCACCCTTTTGACTGGGGCTTGTCAAGAGTCGTGATCTCAACACACCCGAAAGTCTAGACTTGACGCAAAAGTAATACTACATTCGGGCCCTCTAGTCGAGCCTCTTTCGCCCAGACTAGTCCAGACTAGACAAAGAAGATGATCTGCTTAATTAGGACGTATCAGACATAAACACGTCAGAGTGAGTAGGAGAGGCCTAAACCAGGGCCTATCTACAAACAGTTTTGTCAGTTTGCATAAGCGTCTACAGTTTACTATCAGACAGGCCGACGTTTTTCGACCTGCATAAACATGCTGTCATAGCTACTCCTGCTAGGTTAGTGTTGTCATAGCTCTAAGGCATGGAGCCTTTGGTTTGGTGGCAAGCCTCTTTCGAGATATCAGGTTGTCTGGACCTCGCTTTCACCTACCAATACGAAGTATAGACTAGTGATCTCTTCGACTGTCTCCTGGTTACGAATTGGAACTCGGCGTCAAGATAGGCTCTGCTCGCTCACGAGATCAACCATGCTGTCGGCGAAGCTTCTGAAAATCGGACCAATGCTTGGGTCAGACAATGTAGCACGGACTAGGTACAGATCGCGATCCGCCTATACCCGCAACGAGGTTGGCAAGTCGTGATGACATCAAATCTCTTTGAATGTGCGCCTACAAGCACAAATCGGACAACGTCGCTTCTTCTCTTTTATAAAGAACTGCATTTGATATTGTGAAGTCAAGTTAAAATGGTCCGTCTTGCCTTGATGCCGTTCTTCATCTGAGACAGGAAGAAGCATTTCGATTTCATCGAGGAACGAGGATGGTGACTTTGGGACGGCAGCGACCTCAGCAACGACGATGTAGAAAAACTGATTAGCACGCCAAGGGCCAGCCTCCTCCAGCTTTGTGTGAGGCTGTTCAAAGAACCCCTTGTTGTATGTGTTTAGATTAAGTGGAGCACCTCCGAAGCATTTGAGGATAATTTGGCGACCGTAGAATGGTAAACTATTGTGACTGCGACGAGCAAAGCTTCCCAGTCAGATTGATTGTAGAAGAAGCCCAATTCGGTCGGGTTGTTTGCTTCAAGAGCCCGAAATCCATTTACTTGCAAAGGAACCGAGCGGAAGCTTGACTTGCTCTTCAATTCCCACCTTGACGACTTCCTAAATGTAATCCTAAGTGGGATGTGCTCCTCAACTGGCCACGCAAGAGCGCCACCTCGAAGATATTTTCATCAAAACTAGTTGATTAAACTTCTGTTTTGCTCTCCGTCTTCTCTCGCCATACAGCAGCGGTATAACCTCATTTTCGCAACTTGCTCATGTTGTCAGGGCGAGATGGTTAGACGCACCCTGTCCAAAGTCCTCTGCCTGAGTAGTTGGGATAATTCCCAGCTTTGGATAATTGTCTTGCTGCTGTCCCAGACTTTTCGCCGGCATCGTAGTAGACGACGTCAGTCGTTATGGTTACTCTTAGCATCACATAATACTTCGTCAAAGATACAAGTAAGGGCAATCCCTTGACCGACTTTCTGCCCCCCGGTTGTGTTACCAATTCTCCTTCTGTCTTACCACATCTAGCTGGTGGGTGTGATTTCGGCAAATCGAGATTGAAGTTATGATATGGAAGGATTC